TAAAAATAATTCTTAATTAAAATCAGTAGAACTAGTAATAATATTAAAAAATGATGCGATTTAAAGAAAATTCAATCACAACTATTTAAGAGGGGGAAGTATTGATTGTCGTTACTTTTGTGAACAGATATCCTACCTACTGTAAACTCATGACAAGCGGTTCTAAAGTAGTGGAAAATTCTCTGAATTCTGATTACAAGAAAGTATGAGTTTTCGCTTCATTCTATGTAGAGTTTCAGTAGTTTATCTTGTTCAAGCCCCAGGCCACAACCTTGAACCTCTCTCTTGTTTCCGTGTAAGTATCATTATTGACCTTAGGAAAATCTTCCAGATCTCAAAATGAATGTAGATAACTTTTATGTTTTGTACTTGATGTAACGCCAAACCACTGTACTAATGACCACCGAACGTTAGACCCCTCCGTTCAAAAATAAGAAGACGGAAGACGTTGGAGAACCACTGTCTTACCAGAATCAAAAATGTACAATCAAACATGCGTATCTATACAATTATATAAATGTCGTTAAATATTTTGAACATGAATCAAATAGTTCATCATGAACATTGATCATATAGTTCATCATTAATCAAATAGTTTATCATGAACATTAATCAAATAGTTCATCAATCCACAATGTGCGTGGCTTTCTTCTCGATTGGCTATCCCAACAATAACACCAAAATGAAAGTATTGTTGTTTGTTCTTTCAGCGTACCTTATTGTACACATAAAATGCGAAGTGAATAAGAAGGTATTGATCTCCTTTCATGATTTAACTAGTACACAAAGTATGCTCTAATTTATATGAATATGATCACAGAACTTCCAGATAATACTTGATATACATGACAGGCTCCAGGTGAAAACGTCAAACTATGTGATCTATTAAGTTTTTTTAATATTCTCAAGACTTGAGCTACTGTTTATTAGTTCAGTACATGTAAAATTCTTCAAATGATCTCATGAACAGTTTAAGGATTTATATGATTTTGAGATCTTTATCAGTTTGTACAAACATTAAGAACACGGATGAAGTAACGAATCGTGGTTTCGTAGCGTTCTTAGAACACAGTGTGGTTGGTTTACTCTTGAATTAGTTATTATCATTAGCATCAACTTGAAAAATCCTGTCTAAAATTGTAAAAATATCGTGATCAAGTAATTCACATATATGAATACATTATCTTTCATGAATTCTTCAACTGAATTTTAAATCGTTTTCATTATTTGAAATGTAAATAAATAGCTACTGATTTAAAAGATTAGTTAGTCCATTTTTGGTGTGTTTTGACGAAAAAGATTACTACTTATCCCTGTTGACTGCTTTCTTTTGAAAATTTATTTCACTGCATAATACCTCTTCAATAAAATCTTC